ACAATTCTGAAGAGTTAAAAAATAAATTTGCTTATTCCTACATTTTGTTTCTGTCCCCAAAAGCTTTAGTTTTATTGCAGTTCTGTTATGCAGGGTTCAAGCTGTAGCTGAACACCGTTCTTTTGTTTTACAGAACCTAATAAGCATGTTTTCTTAGATTATAAAACAGGACCAAACAGAGTATTCGATCAGCCCGTTAAAGCTTTGGAGGAAAGCTTTTTCCGTGGAGCTTACTGGTCTCGAGGATGGTACTGCACTTTCAAGATGGGTGAAGGGAACCGAAACCTCTGGTCACAGTCTCCAGACAGAACATCCCACTGCGATACAATGTTATCGGTTGAAGCACTCACCAGCTTGTGACCATCTCGGCTCCAGCTAGCAAGGAAAAAGAGACTTAGTCACTTGAGTTTATGTTTAAACGCATACACAAAACCCATGTTCACCAAAACCTAGCTGAGGCCATCTCAGAGCTGACATGATCTATGAGAATCATCAGCTGCAGCAGCAAATCTGTTAGTCTGCTGGACAACTGCGTACACCTTGAACAGACTGACCATATATAATGTCTTTAAAACTCACTTACAGGATTAGATCCTAGGAAATGCTTGGTTATACTGTAACTTATCAGCACTAGTGCGCTATGTTAAGGTTAATTTATGACTTATAACAGAGAATCAGGCACTACAGTTTCTTACATCCCATTCAAACTCGTGTGAAATTTCTTACCATAAAGAACAGACAGGGTGGATATGAGCACTTATGATTTTTGCTATGCCTCTTGTCAAGAAGTCCCAAATGACAATGCGTCCATCATTGCAGCCTACAGCAAGTAGCGTGCCCCACCTATTAAAGGTACACGTGAGAGCCATACTAATGCAGTCCAGCGTCCCATCAGCTTCCTGGAAATAAACAAGGACAAAAGAGAGAGTTAGAAAGTAAGCTTCTATTTTCAACATTTGAATCCAAGTCCTTCTACCCACTTCTAGATTAGGAGGGCTAAGGGTCAGTTTGACACCCAGGCTCAGATGTTCTAAGGATGGGTGATCAGGGTGAAAAGGAACACTAAACCAGTTTTATCCCCAACCATCAGGAGGAAAGTTGCTTTTAAAAAGGAGTTTCTAAAACCCATTATGCATTGAAATATTTTAACAACTTTAATGGGAAAAGGTCAATGTTGTGTGGATGTTTCAATTTCTCCTTTTCCAAGCCAAAATAACAACAACAAGTGGCAAGATAATATTTAAATATTTAGATTCTTTTTAAAAATTAAGGAAATTTTAAATAATGATATTATTTATTCTTAACAGCTTTGTGCTTGCAGCGTCCCTTTCAAAAAATCTTGCCAGCACCCTAGATTCCACACTTCCAAAGTCAAATAAACCTGCCACCAGATTCATTTTTGTTTTTCTTGATGCATCGTATAAGCAAACCATCCTTTGGCCCTGAGGAAACATTCAGCGCAGAGCTTTCCAAACACTCATCCACCTCTCCTCTGCTGCAACTGGCTGTTTACATATAGCACCTGCACGTGCAAAGGCTCCTATAACGCAATTATTTTAGGGGATGGATTTGCCAGGTAACAAGCCTTCCACACTGTGAAGCCTCACGGAAATGCAGCCCCATGAGAGCTGCGTTTTCGCTGTTGTTTCGCACCGGTTCGTTGTTTTTATTGTTGAACAGGACACAAACACTGCAGAGCGGTTGCGAAGACCAAGCAAATCAGTTCACAAGCCCAACAAAGACCAAAGGCAGCATCACCTGCTGGAAAAGGCATTTACCTCGGGGTAGTTCTGCCCAAACGACTCTGCAACGAAACACAAGGATCGGTTACGAATGAAAAAGAAAAGAACCACGTTTCCCACGAGCAAGCTCTAGGCTCGGCAGTTCCCAAACTCTGACAACCTATGGGTACAGGCCACCCCCGCTGAGCGCTATTTGGCTATAACGCTCATTTTAAACCGCCACCTGATTTCGCTCAGCGAGCTTCGTTACAGAGGCGGG